AAAGTAGGGCTCTGTCAGCTTTCATAAGTGGACATAAAAAGCCAGGCATTAATCATAGAACATAGAACAATACAACACAGTACAGGCCCTTCGGCCCATGATGTTGTGCCGAACCATTACCCCAATCCTAAGGTCTATCTAACCTCCACCCCTACCTTATATTATCATCCATATGCCTATCTAATAGCCGCTTAAATGGCCCTAATGAGGCCAACTCCACTACCCTCTCTGCCAATGCATTCCACGCCCCTACCACTCTCTGAGTAAAGAACCTACCTCTGATGTCTCCCCTGTATCTACCTCCACTCACTTTAAAACTATGCCCCCTTGTAATAGCTGCCTCCACCTTAGGAAAAAGTCTCTGGCTATCCACTCTATCTATACCTCTGATCATTTTGTACACCTCTATCAAGTCACCTCTCATCCTTCGTCATTCTAAAGAGAAAAGCCCTAGCTGTCTCAACCTTCCCTCATAAGACCTTCCCTCCATTCCAGGCAACATCCTGGTAAATCTCCTCTGCACCTTTTCCAACACCTCCACATCTTTCCTGTAATGAGGCGACCAGAACTGGACACAATACTCCAGATGTGGCCGAACCAGGCTTTTGTATAGCTGGAGCATAACTTCACGTCTCTTGAACTCAATCCTTCTATTAATGAAAGCTAACACACCATATGCCTTCTTAACAACTCTATCCACCAGGGTGGCAGCTTTCAGGAAACTGTGGACATGAACCCCAAGATCCCTCTGCTCCTCCACACTGCCAAGCATCTTTCCAGTAACCCTGTATTCTGCTTTCAAGTTTATCCTTCCAAAATGAATCACCTCACACTTTTCAGGGTTAATCTCCATCTGCCACTTCTCAGCCCAGCTCTGCATGATATCAATGTCCCTTTGTAACCTAGAACAGCCCTCTGCACTGTCCACAACGCGACCCACCTTCATATCGTCCGTGAACTTGCTAATCCACCCTTCCACTCCTTCATCCAAATCATTTACAAAAATCACAAATAGAAGAGGACCCAGAACAGAATCTTGTGGTACACCACTCGTAACTGAGCACCATGTTGAATATTTTCTGTCCACTATCACCCTTTGTCTTCTAAGGGTCAGCCAATTCTGAATCCAATCTGCCACATTTCCCCCATCCCATGCCTCCTTACCTTCTGCATGAGCCTACCATGGGGAACCTTATCAAACACCTTACTTAAATCCATGTATACCACATCCACTGCTCTACCTTCATCCATGTGTTTGGTCACCTCTTCAAAGAAATTGTGAGGCATGATCTATCCCTCTCAAATCCATGCTGACTATCATGAATCAAACTGTGTCTTTCCAAGTGATCATAAATCCTATCTCTTAGAGCCCTTTCCAATAATTTGCCCACCACTGATGTAAGACTAACTGGCCTGTAATTTCCGGGGTTATCCCTATTTCCTTTTTTGAACAAGAGAACGACATTTGCCTCTCTCCAATCTTCCAGCACAATATCCGTGGACAGTGAGGACGAAAAGATCATCACCAAAGGCCCTGCGATCTCTTCCCTCCCTTCCCATAGAATCCTTGGATAAATTCCATCAGGCCTGGGGGACTTATCTATCTTCAACTTACTCAAAATTCCTAGCACATCTTCCTTACTAACATCGACCTTCTCTAGCCTACCAGCCTGTTTTACACTGTCCTCCTCTACAACTAGGTCCCTCTCAGTTGTGAATACAGAAGAAACGTATTCATTAAGGACCTCTCCTATCTCTTTAGGCTCCGTGCACAAATTCCCTTTTACAATCCTTGATCGGCCCTACCCTTTCTCTGGTCATTCTCTTATTCCTCACGTACGTGTAAAAAGCCTTGGAGTTCTCCTTGATCCTATCTGCCAAGGTTTTCTCATGCCCCCTTAGAGCTCTCCTAAGCCTTTCTTCAGCTCCTTCCTGGCTAACTTGTATCCCTGTAGAGCATTTTCCGTTCCTTGTTTCCTAAACCTTACATAAGCACCCTTCTTCCTCTTAACCAGTCGTTCGGCCTCTCTTGAAAACCAAGGCTCCCTCACTCGACGGCATCTTCCCTGCCTGCTAGGGACAAACATATTGAGCACACGCAATATACATTCCTTAAACAATCTCCGCATTTCAATAGTGCTCTTCCCTGACAGCATCTGTTCCCAATTTATGTTACCCAGTTCTTGCCTAACAGAATTGTAATTACCCTTCCCCTGCTGTATGTACCTATCCTTTTCCATGACTATTGTAAAAGGAACAGAGTTATGATCGCTACCACCAAAATGCTCTCCTACCAACAGGTCTAACACTTGGCCCGGTTCATTGCCAAGCACCAAATCCAAAGTGGCCTCTCCTCGTGTTGGTCTATCTATATACTGTGTCAGGAATCCTTCCTGAATGCACTGGACAAAATCCGCTCCATCTAAACTATTACAACTAAAATGTTTCCGATCAATATTTGGAAGGTTGAAGTCACCCATGACTACAACCCTGTGACTTCTGCACCTTTCCAGTATCTGCCTCCCAATCCACTCCTCTACTTCTCTGCAACTGTTAGGGGGTCTGTTAAAAACCCCCAACAAAGTGACTGCTCCTTTCTCATTCTGGACCTCAACCCAAACTGACTCTGTAATAGAGATAGTAGGAACTGCAGATGCTGGAGAATCTGAGACAACAAGGTGCAGAGCTGGATGAACACAGCAGGCCAAGCTGCTCCTATGATGCTGCTTGGAAAGCCTTCCTGGTCCTACGATGCTGCTTGGAAGCTTTCCTGCTCCTATGATACTGCTTGGAGCCTTCCTGCTCCTATGATGCTGCTTGGAGCCTTCCTGCTCCTATGATGCTGCTTGGCCTGCTGTGTTCATCCTGACTCTGTAATATGTTGATTGAACTAAAACAGCTATTAAAATAGCATGCAAAAGAATTCAGTGTTAATGTGTTAATTGTATTAGTACAGAAACTTGATTTCAGTATTTCCATAAAAGTGTCCAAAAAGAACAAATTTGAAAAGTTCTCTCTGAATAATGGGGATATTCCCAAGGAGTCCTGTTGTGCTGAATTCTTGGCAGCAACTGACAGATTGAGTTGCAAAGAGTGTTTTCAGTAAAGTGATTCCCTTTGTCCTGTATTGTCTACCAGTAATGCCTGCAGTCACATAACAAAGTCTCAGAATGTGTTAATTACCTCTTCATAAAACAGGAATAGCGTGTCTTGTTCTGATGATGTGCACCGTATTGCTGGGCCTGATAGTTTCCTCAGTGACGTGCTGTCAGCCATCTAATTACACCTTCTGCCGAAAAGCAGGTTTGCCTTGGATCTCACAGAACGTGTTTTGTTTGGATCCATGTGATAAATTTCCTACTTTTTAGGCAACATTTTCACTTGGCTGCAGCAGATGAAGAATAATGTTGTTTCTTAACACTGAACCACGCAGTATTTTTTTTATATGGCAGTGGAACCTTTACCTTTTTTGTGATGTGATCACATCTGAAAAAGCCCATACGCCGTATAGAGATAGTAGGAACTGCCGATGCTGGAGTCTGAGATAACAAGGCGCAGAGCCGGATGAACACAGCAGGCTAGGCAGCATCAGAGGAGCAGG